ACTTCCCTAAGAAGTGGGGCTGGTCTGCATATTGGGCCTCCTGTTCCCCTCAGGAGGGAGTCACCTATGACAATGACCCGTCTTTTTTTCTTTATGGAAGTGCTTTTGATGCAGGGCGCAGGCCAACTTAACCTCAGTGACACCTCCAAGCTAGATGAACCGTTGTCCTCGTCATTGTTTGGTTCTACTTGCAGAGCCTCAGACCTATTATGCAAGGGCACCTGGGAAGGTAGGGTAGTCACAGAGGAGATGTGCCTGCTGTGCCGGGCAGAAACTTGTCGCCATTGCCTCTTATCCCTTAAGTCACTCTGTTCAGCCAGGTGGGGAGAGGGTAGGGAATCCTCCATATCATGCATCCTGTCTGCCTGTTGGGCCTGTCTCAGGGAAGGTAGGGTGCGATTCCTGTAGACTCTCTCTCTCGGACTCCCTGATACTCCTCAACCTACTCACCTCCTCCGGGAGCTCTTTCAATAACTGGAGGAGTTCCTTTACCTGGGCACACCTCCCACAGGTGTGCTCACTGCTGCCGTCTGATACTGGCATAAGAGTAGGGTCACCCTGCAGCCTGACACCTGGGTGGCAGCATGTTCCCACTGGAGCTCTGTCTGGGAAGCTGCATCAGTTGTGGTGGGGGCAGAGTTTAGAGTGGACATAGCCTTCTGCCAGGTGAATACCATTGCTCCATGGTTGAGCTGGCAGAGCTATAGCACCCTTGCTGATGTGCCTGTTTGCCTGCCCTGGTCCCTAGTGCTCCTCAGGGGCTTCTTTTATACATGTGGGGGCTTGGTCACCGTGTCTCCTGGCCCTGTTCAGGTCTTGTCAGTGCGAGCTGTGGGCTCCTGGTGGCTCTCTCGGCTCCCCCTGATGTTTTCCTGGTTCAGGAAACCCCCCTGTGCACTGCACTAGAGTGCTCTGCTGCAGATCGTGCCGTCACCAGAGCTGCTCGCCTAGTCGATGTAGCTTTATTGTGTATCATCTCTGACACAGCCCCTTTAACATGTACTTACTGAAAATGAGATGTTTTCTCATGCTGCTGAGGGATACAGAAATGAGAACAACAAAAAGAAGCCACATCATGGTACATCATGGTAATGTTTTACAACACAAGAGATAAAAGTAATCTTCAGCATTTATTTTTAAGTTTCTAAATAAAGATTAGTTTTTATCTAGCATTTAAATAGTCATTGATCTTTTGAGAAAAAGCCCATATAGTAGGTAATCATGATTGAAGGAAAGGGAAAACTTACAAATACGTACATACACAAAACCAAGAAATGTCAACACCACTTTACCACTTTTATATTTTATTGTGGAACTGAGTTTTTTTCCTTTACATCAAATATCCTCAATGGAAGAGGGGATATTGCACACAAATATCATAAAAGCACTACATATTACTTTCACTGGAAACTAATTTTCTACATTAGATATGACTGGACAGAATAGAAGTGATGCAGGATTATAAGACATAATACCATACACAGCTGCAGACTGACACAAACACCATTCAGAACAAGAGAGAGGAGGTGTGTGAGGTGCTTCTCAGCCAGCAACAAGACTGTTTCCTTCCATAGTTTGGAAGATGATAGCTGCATGCAAATGCGTGAAAGCATATTTCAGATTTCCTCTTTTACATTTTTGATTACAGCCCAGTCTTGAAGAGGTAGCTTTGCCATCTGGAGCTCCTAGCTAGTCTAGTGCAGACAAGCTTTTTTTTCCTTCTTTTTTTTCCCTTTCAATATTTTTATGCCATTGTTTTATTTAGTTACTTTTTTTTTTTTAGATTTTTTGTAAAGTCACAACAAAAAGACTTTTTTTCTTTTTTTTAAATAGCAAACATTTTTAAACCAGGTGAATAATATAATTGCATTCTAAGAAATGCTTACCCCTCATTGCTTTTAGTGTTTTGTTCAATTAAGTGAAAAGATGAAAGCTTACATTTTCTTACAAGTATAAACATTATACTTCTTTTCCTAATAAATCCAGACCAATGAGATGTTTCTCTCAAAACATCATTACTGAGCAAGAACTTCTTGCAACAAATGAACAAAGAGAAGCATATGACAGAAATGTCTTAAATGCACAGTAAGTGCTCTTTGGAGCTGACTTGCTTGTGGTGGGAGAAACTGAAAATTCAATTAGCAAATTGATTAAATCTTAGTAAATGAGTACCAGAACTCTCCTAAAATGCATAATCTACCACAGACAATTAAAAAAACCCATTCATATACACAGTTAGCTCCATTCACCACAGTATGTAAGATGATAAAAAATCAAAAGTGAATGCTATGAAAGATGGGATGAAAAGGAGAAGTCAATGAAGTCAGACCCACTACAGGACTTTGAAAAGGCATGCAAGAGAGGCCCTGTCCAAGTTAAGGAGTGGGGTGGGAAGCAGTATAGTAATTGCATAAAGATCATCACTGGGGACGCTGTTATGGGTAGTACCGTCATTTAAATGGAGTGTCCTATTGAATCTTTATAATTAATCAATAACGAACCATGCTCCTAAAAATCCATGCTGATCAACAGCACTCATCGTTAATGTACACGGTACATTTTGATGACTGTGTAGTATTATTATTAGCACAGTTACACTAGTTCCACAGGCAAGAAAGACATTAAGGGCAGGAGCTAGTGGAGTTCATTGCCCTGTTACATTCAGGCGTGATTACCATTTAAAAAGGAATGGCTGGAACAGGCATTACAATACCTCAGAATAGCCAGACTGGGTTTTTAATATTCTTGTAGCAGCAAAAAAATAAATTAACATTTTAAGATCGGCTGTAACTGACAATTATTTTTTTTTTTTTACTGTATTATTATTTTTGAAGTAAAACAAATGCTTGAGCCATCACAAACTTACCTGGGGAGATTTAAGGCTTGATTCTAGTTTCGTTTACAGTAGGACCAAATGACTCTAACTTCCCTGATTGTAGTGAAATTGCTCCTGATTCACAAGAGAAAGTGGCATAAGTGAGATTAGTCTCAGGACCACTGGTGTACTTAGATTTTCTACCAAAGCAGAGGTAGAAACCATTTCAGATATTGTCAGAAAATCAGAAAATCTGTTCCCACCCACTCAAAAAATTTGAAATCTGACCTGTATAAGACAGTAGACAAAGCAGAATTGTAGAAATAGTACTATTCTGCCAAACATTTTGCCTATAACTTTGAAGACTATGTATTACAAAAGCAATTTTAAATGAATGATTATGAGTCCAGCAAACATGCTTGTTTTCACAATACATTTCCATCTGCCTTTTCTGCTAGTCATTCTGAGTTATTCTTAATGACTTAAAACATATAGCAATAAATCAAACTATTGCTAGGGATACCTAAAAAAAGAAGACATTAAAAATAAATAAAAAACCCCAACAATTGACAAACAGTAATTCACAGCATTAAATAGACCTCAGGACTCCACATTTAAAGGGCCCTAAATCAGTATAAAAAAAACTTTCATAAAAATTAGGAGTGCAAACATATACCTATTAAATGAAAATATCCTAAAAATATAAAATTGAAATAAATTATAAGTAAAGCAAATAAAATGAGGTCACAGTTCACTACATTGTGAAACTTAATACCAGCCATAATGGTGAATCATACAGACCATCACATATCTTCATTTTGGAGGCCTTTACATCTTCTATAAATTCAGATTTGCAAACCTTCTACAATGTAACAAGATTTTTTTAATTGGGATAAAACTTCTGAGACTAAAATATCCAAACTGTCTTAAATGATGGAACTGTTATACATGCTGTTCTGCTGCAAGCAGTCTAGAGAAGGAAAGGAAGAGAGGGAAGGGAAAGGCAAGGGAAGGGAAGGGAAGGGAAGGGAAGGGAAGGGAAGGGAAGGGAAGGGAAGGGAAGGGAAGGGAAAGGAAATGGTCTTATTTTGGGTTATTGCTTATTCTATATTTTTTCAAGATCTTGTGAGGATTGAGAATGTAGGTTACACCCTTGTAAATATTAGGCAATCAACATTTCAAATCCCATTTTCTGTCATCATTCATAGGTTAATTTTACCACCAGGATGCCCCTCCCCCCCGCACCCAAAAAGGTATTGGCAGTTGACTATTTTCAATAAATCTTACCTCAATATCCATTCTCACTAGAACCTTAAGCATTATTAATCTTACAAAACTGCTAAAAAAATTGCCTTCAACTGAAAAAATTTTCTTTGCATTTTCCTGTAAATGAAAACTTTTGTTAAAAATCTATTAAAAGTTCACACAGCACTAAAAAAAAAGGTTTCTGTACATGTGTTCCCATATTTACTCTTAAATTAAACAAATAAAATAAGGTAAGACAAAGGATGGTTGAATACAGTACAGACTCACAGGTAACCTTTTTCATCATCCTGAATGTTTCACTAAGTTTTGCAACTCTGATACTGGACACCACTTCAATCTTGCTTCCACAGTACAAAAGACACTTTCAAAAAAATGCTCATCATGCCTTGTTGAGCTGTCCTGGTGCATCAATGAATTGTTCACAGAACTAACACACGTAATTCATAGCACCAAGCCGTATGACCAGATAGGTTTCTAGTACCACACATGCACACACACTTCTTTACTGGTGTAACTATGATCCTACAGAGATGTTTTATAAATATGCTGTCTCGACATTAAAAAATAAATGCATCAAGTTTCTTTGTACATTCAAGTCACTTTCTAAGGCAATTGTCTACTGTATGTACTCCCAACTGCTTTGGTATTTTGCTTCAGTTAATTGACAGTGGACATGGATGTTTAAGCGTGTGGACTGGTCAGTTCTGACTGGAGTGAGTGGATTTTTACTGGGAGCGTGTCTTAGACCAACAATTCTGCATGTTTAAAGAAAGGTTTTAGAATTCTGAACGGGGTTCAGACTACATGCATATTTGGCCTTCGATTATTATGGTATGTCAGTATGCAGAGTTCAAATTAAAGTGGAAAACTGCTAATGAGCGTTTAGGTGGTACGTCCCTTCCTAGACACATTCTGCTCCTTCTTATTTTCCAGCTAACTTAATTCTGTAAAGTAAGGACCTCCATTGTGATAGCTCAGATTGATACAAATTTAAAACCTTTTCATGTGAGTGCATAAACAAACTGCAGTAAGCGATACAGCTATTGTCATGAGACTACTGGAGACCTAATTATTTATTACTTCCTCCTCCTACCCGTCTCTCTCTCTCTCTCTTTGTGTTTCTTTAGAGAGCAAATGCCTCTACCTGGCAGAAGTCAGTTGGGATTGCTAGTACATGGTTTCCAAACATTCATCAGAGATGAAACTGGATCTGTATTTTTGCAGTGATTTGAACTTTACTATGGGAATGCTGTTATTTCCCTTAGTAATCAGCAAAGACTGAAAAATATTAATGACTTGCATCACCATGATACAGTATAGCATTTTGCAGGTATACAGTTCAGCAGTTGAAATAGATGGGTTGAATTTTTAGAAAAGGTGTTTTCAAACTGAAGACTGGAAATAAAGTTAAATCTTGTGGTGCATGGTCTTGTTCTTACAGTTCAATCTTGCATGCAGGAAAAGATTCATCTTGCATAACAACAGTGCTGCTGCTTGCCAAAACCATGATGTTGAGGTCCTGCTGTTTCTCATGGGTCTCTTGGTACCATTCCCTCATCACTTCTGAGTCATGGGTTGGGATTAAGGTCACCTGCAACACAAAACAGGAGAACTCCTGAGGAATGGACAACAGAAAGACCAAAGAAAAATGTCTTTGTAAGAAGTACTGGCCAACAAGTATGATTCCTTTTTGGAAATAGTGGATCTTTATGCAATAAATATTTTTAAAAATGGATGGATAAAAGGAAATAAATAAATATGTAGATAAGATAAAATGACCGTAAAGAAGCAGTTTATCAAAATAAAACTTCAGTTCTCTAAGGTGCTGAGATGTCACTGTCCAGTGAAGTAGTAGTCTGTAGTCTGCGCTGATAGCTCTTCAGATTATGGCCAAATATTTTGTTTACTTATTTATCATGTTCGAAAGGCACATGAAGTTTCCAAGTGTACGTGGTTACCATATAAACCGTGAAACATTCACTTTTCTTTCCTACTTACAAACTGCAAAGTTTCCAAACTTTGATCATATATGGTATAGCAACAAGATGAAATAGCCAAATGGCCCTGTAAACTGGTTCCCAACTGTTTTATTCTCCAGAGACAGGTCAGAAGGGCCAGAAATGGGGGAGCAGCTGAGTATGGTACAGCTCTGTGCTTCACTTCGGTGTCCTCTCATATCACTGGCGAAACAAGGTGCCCAGGCTGGGAATGCCTGTCCCCAGGAGCCGCCGCCCACTCCAGAGGCACTCTGGCTTCCTGTAGATGCTTCCCAGAGAAAATTAAATTTCCAGGTAGAAATACAAGTGAAGAGCCTACCTGCATGTTACTCTCCCACTGGGTCTTGCCCTCCAGCAGGGAGTCCAGAACAGCCCTGCTTGGCTCCTCGGCTGCAGAATTGTTCCCGCTCACCACATAGTAGGATGACCGCACTCTCTTGAAAAACTCAACATCGACATTCTTGCTATTGCTGTGGTTGGGAATGTACACCAGATCCAAATACACCGGAGGTCCTGGAGGCACTGCTGTAGATTTTGCTGACTTACTATTCCCAGTTCCTTTGGAAATAAAGCAACAAAAGAATATATCACAAGCTGGTTAAAAACATGCATTTATTAATTACCATTATAACCACTGAGATTATATTCTTAAAATTGCTACTCTTGGTTAAGCATTACATAGCTACAGTTGTACTTCAGTGTCCCCTGAAACAATTATGGCATTACATTCCTACATCTAATGCCGCATTCCAGCTTTGTTGTATGCCAATTACGATTGTACTGGGAGGAAAAAAATGAAATAAAAGTAACTAACTATATAATACAATAAAAACTCACTACCACATAACCAACATTTGACTGAACCTTTCCCAGTAATATACTACTGTTATCCAACAATTATTACGCAGGGCTGTGATTACCGAATTACCATTTGATAAATGGCAGTATTATTTTCCAAGTTAAGAAGTACAGCTTTTTGAAAGTCTCAGGTATGCATGATTATAAAAGCTAGGGTTACACAGGGAGCCATGCAGAAGTGGTCCTGAGATGTGGGGTATCAGCACATATCAAGACATAGTAGCTGTTGATATGCTCAGACTGTCTTGCCGGTGCATCAGGAAGCTACTACACATGAGCAGAAAAAGGGGCAAAGAGGAACTTCGGAGAACAGAGAAACTTCCTAAAGCAATTACTTCAGGAAACTGAGAACAAGTGTTTGTTTGCCTGCTGGATCCTTATTTGCATACACAAACTAGCCACTTACCACAAAAAGTAGAGGGAAGCATGTTTTTGCTGCTATACATAGTGTAGTATCTGTTCTAAGAAGAGGTTCAGTCAAAAGAAAGTTCAAAGTTTAAACACATTAAAAATACTACTACTACAAAAAAGCTGCTTTTGCTACACACTGGATCACGTTGTGAACTGACAATCAGTATTCAACCAGCAATTGTATCCAGGTGATCACCATTTATGTTTTATTGGTCTTTGCATGATGTTACATAGGATGAAGTTTGGTAAACTAAATTATCTGAGCAATACACTCTATTTAGGAACACATATTGTAAAACCAGAAAAGTCCAATACAATTGTCTATTGTGACCTGCCATTCATCATAGGGCAATATGCCCAATAAGCATCATAATATGATAAGATTTCCTGAATTAGAGATTTTTTAACTATTGGGTATGTTACAAAATCTTTTATTATCTTTCATCATAAAAATCTCTGATAACATCTTTCTGAATTGTGGATACCCACATTGGATAAAATATTAGACATTACATTTTACACTTAAAATGTCATTATCAAATAGAGCCTTGTCTTCAGCTCTAGCATATACCTGAGAAGTATGCTTCAAGGAAGAAGAATCTAATAGAAAGCTAAAGTGCTGGAGAAATGTACAGCATGGGGAACTGTATTGCTGCTTTGAAAAACATCTACTAACAGAGACATGCAAACGATGGTGTAAGAAAGGAACAGCAGATCACTTAAAATGGGGACGCTGCAGATAGATAGCCAAATTTTGGGTTGCTTGTACTGAATCCTAGACCTGCTCCTTGTAAAAAGCTTTCAATAGAACATCAGTCCTGACAACAGCAAAATCAAAGTATCCCCAAAACACTCTCTAACAAGATCTGCCAGAAACAACATATTAGCACAATGCCTCCTTCAGTAATCTAATTCATATTTTATTACTAATTAGAATACACAACAGTCATTCAAAATGACATTTTCTGTATGTTTAGTCATCACTGGTGGCATAAGACTTTAACTGGATTATGTGATATACATGCTCAGTGCACTGAAAGCGCTCTTACTACTGTTATAATTTTTTAAAAATACTCTTTTAAAAATTAATCCAGCAATAAAAGCATCCAATGTCTGATAATACATTTGCCTTTCACTATTAAATTGCATTATTTCATGTTAAGAGCATTGTCCCTACATGATTCTTATAATGAATGAAGTGGTTCACTTTGCTATTGATTTCACTTCACCTACAAAAGCGGTACTTTTAATTCTATTAGTTGGTTAACAATTCAGATAGCTAGTATTAAGTTCTTTATATTTGATGTACTCTCTCTAATTATTTTTTACATCTGAGCAAACTGACACATCAAGTTTCTAAGATTGCAAAAGTTAATTCAGTGAATTTCATTCATTTAAATGCGGCCTTAACACGCCAGATTTATATTTAAAACATGGACTTTCTTTGGGGGTTTGCTAAAATCCACATTCTCAGCTGATATAAAGGCAACCTAACTTCACTGCAACATTTAAGAAAATCTTAACATTAGGGAACTCCTATCTATCTTTACCTATGGTTGCAGTCTTTGCTGACTTGGACGTTGTTGTATTTGCTGCATTCTTGGTGTCCTTATCTTTTTCTTCCACTCGAGACTTTACATCTGGATTAGAGATATTTTTGGTTGCTTTCTCCACAGACTCCTTCTTTTTTGGAGAAGCTGTTTTAGAAATTTTGTCTAAAGATTCTTTTACAGCTGGTTTTGGTGAAGCCACTTGTTTTGATTTACCATCACTTTTTTTAACAGGAGAAGAAGACTTGGTCTTAATACTCTGCTTTTTTGTCTTTGTCTTTTCTTTGAGGTCCTTCTTCAAAGGTTTACCCAAATTCTGACTGGTGGGCAAAGTCTCTGGATCAACCATGGAGACATCAGGGTGCCTAGGGGAAGGGCTATGATCCTGCATCGGGACAGGTGGTGGGTCAATTTGTTTGTATGCAATTGTTTTATCTGTAGGAATGGTTTCTGACTCATCTTCTGAGTCAATGTTAGCATCTGCAGTGATGGAAGGGCATTCCTCAGTCTCAGGGGGAACATCCGAATCAGTCTGAGATGGGGCAGACTCACTCATGGATGTGGGAGGGGTTTCGTCACACTGCCGCCCTTGCTGCTTTCCCCCAGAAGGTGGCTGAGTTCCCCCAGATGGAGTTAATGGCTTTTCTTGTTCTTTATACTGTTCTTCCCCTGCAAACCCGGTGAAAGTTCAGTTTTAGGATGTTTATATTCACAGGAGGACACAAGGCATAAGTCAACATCTCGACGGGATTCTGCTAATGATTTTCTTGGAGTAAAATGTGCACTTGCTTCATAGGAATAGCTAATAGCTTCGGATGACCTGGTGGTTTTCCCAGTTGTCTCAAATGAGTAATCTGTGGCTTCAGGTGAGCTGGTGGCTTTCCCTGTTGTCTCATAAGAGTAATCTGTGACCTCAAGTGATTTGGTGTTTTTTCCAATTATCTCATAGGAATAATCTGTGACTCCTGATGACCTTGTGGTTTTCCCTGTCATCTCATAAGAATAATCTGTGGCCTCAGGTGACCTAGTATCTTTCCCTGTTATCTCATAGGAATAATCTGTTGCCTGAGGTGATCTAGATTTTGCAACTGCCTCATAGGAGCAGCTAATATCCTCTGGTGACCTAGTAGTTTTCTCTGTGGCCTTGTAAGAATAACTAAGTTCTTCTGGTGACCTGCTGCTTTTCTCTGAATCTTCTTTTTCTGGGCTGATTAAAGGTTCTGGACTATGCTTTGTTAGGGGTTCCTGGTAACCAAATACTTTGACAGAGGACACTTGCAGCGACAATGAAGATGTGTGACTAGCTGACACCGCTTCTGTGACTGCAGGAAGTGAATCTAGAAAACTAGGAGAGTACAGAGGAGAAGATTCCCCTGGAGTTAATGGAGATAGGTCAGACTTTGGTGACAGCTTTTCTCCTAGGCTCTGCACCTTTTCTGAGGTAAAAGAAGAATGTAGTGACATATCTCTGGGTGGAACAGCACCTGAAAAAGTTTCTTCTGGCAATGGCGAAGTTAACTGGGTAGGTGTATGAGCTGATGAAGTTGAGGATGAAGCTTCAATTTGAGAAACTGAAATAATTTCTGAAATATCCTTCTCCTGAGAGTAAGATGACTGCTCCACAGGGGAAATCTTCCGTGCAAAAATAGGCTCCTGTATATCTGAAGGGCTATAATCTACTTCTGTTGGTCCATTTTCAGATATATGGTGTATAGTAGTACCTACAGTAGGATAGTCTGGAGATTGCCTACTAAAGTCCATTGCTAAAGACTTCTCAGGGGACTCTTGACCAAATTCTACTGACATAGTTGACTGCACAGGAAATCTGTGATCGTGCACTGGGGTTCTTGATTTTGCAGTTTTAGGTGAGAAATCTGGTGGAGAAATTGACATGGGCCTTGGGCACTCTTCCTTAGATGGAGATATGTCTGTTTCCTGAAACGTTGTTGGTGTTTGTACAACTGACACTGAAAGGGAATCATCAACTTCAGTAGAGTGGGGGGATCCAACCTCAGCATGCAAAGAAGGAGATACATCATCGGTAGTTGGTTCTGGAAATGAACTAGTAGCAACAGATGCTGTAGAGACAGATGCTACTCCTTCTATATGGGAATAGGTATCTTCTGCTACAACCTCATCAACTGGAGTTGCAGACTTGTCAGAAACAGTGCCTTCAGAAATTGACATTTTGGTGTCTTCTTTTAAGGAACCAAACTGTCCAATATCTGTTTGAATAGGTGAGAGATCACCTGCTAACTTCCGCTCATCCAAGACCAATGAAGACTGGGAGCTGCTGGGTTCTGTATCCTCCATTCTCCTTTCCAGACTAAAGCCTTCCTTAATTACCATAAACTCCATGCTTTTCTCATCTTGTTTTTCTTGGAAAAGGCCCACAGAGCTGGCTTCAGAAACTGGGCTCATCTGAACAGGTGATTTTTCTTTTTTAGGTTTCCCCTCAGAAGAACTTCCATAATCTCTGGTGGGAGACTTTACATCAGCATTCAAAAATGTATCATAAGTGGTCTCTGAACCTATCAGTGGTGGACTCCGTAGAGGCGAGAGAACCTTTTCAATAGGAGATTCTGAATCTGGCACAGGCTCATCCATAGGGCTTATTCTGGGTTTTGCAGACTCATCTTTGACTTCACTGAATTCAAAGCTAACAGGAGCATCTGTTGACTTTTCACTGGTTTCAGAGGGAAGCTGACTGGACTTTTCATCAGTGGGAGACTGATAATAAGGTGTGTGGCCAGCACTACCAGCAGCAGACTGTGAGGGAGATGCTACTTCTAATGTTTTATCTTCAGGGCTTGCACAGTGCTCTTCAGCAACTTCTTGATGTACATCAGGCAATGTAGCAATGATGACAGGCTCAGCTGAGACCTTGATCTCATTGGGAGTGAGCGAAAAATTCACACTACGTTCACTCAGTGGTGTTTTGGCAACGGGTGATGGAGGGGACAAACTCTCAGCTGGACTATGTTTTCCATCATCTTCTGGATAGGGTTCTTTGATTTCTAATTTGGCAGTGCCTTGGATTTCACTTCCTTTTTGCCAATATACATCTTTGAATGCAGATTTGCAGAATTTGTCTTCCTCTAATGAAGAAGGTGGTGAGATGGTAGGAGCTGAGGCATTATAGTCTTTACCTTCTGTGGCGTCTGTTTTGGATCCTTCTGATAATCCATTAAAAGCATCTGGAAGCGGAGAAAGTTTAGGTCTAGCAAATTCTTGAGAGTACAGTGATGTCTCATACTTGGTAATGTTCATATACTCTTGAGAAGGTGACTTGCTTTCTTCATTGTTAGTTTCATCACTCATGACATCCCGGGGTGTAGACATTTCATCCATTGGAGTTGGTTCACTGGATATTTCGATGGTAGACTGGGTATAACCTGAAGTAGCAGTGAATTCCTCAGGTTGATCTTCTCTATCTTCTTCATCAGAAACAGTGGCTTCACTTTCTGAACCACCAGGTAATGTTTCATCATGGATAGAAGAGGCCAGTTCAACTGCTGGAGACTGAGGCTCTGAGCATTTTGTTGGTGTAATTATGAGTAGGTCATATTTATCTTCAACTTCACCAGCTTCTGCAGCTTTGTCTACAACAGCCATCACATAATCTTCTTCAGCTTCTATTTTTTCAGTTTCCTCTTCATCTCTGATGTCTTCTGCTTTGTCTTCCTCCTCTTCTTCAGTCTCTTCAGTTTCTGCCTTTTCTACTGCTTCTTCCCTGTCTTGCTCAGCTGGTTCATCTGATGCCTCATCATCTGCATTTTCAATATATTTTTCGGCTTTAATGTTAGCACGTACTTCAGCAATTATTTCTTCTGAACTCTCTTCCATTTTTATTGCTTCCTCCATATATGGTTTTGTGGTGTCCAGTGGCGTCTTTACTTCCTCATCTTCACCTCGTTCTTCAGCTTCTGTCTCTGCCTTTCCCTCATAATCTCCTGCTTCATATGATTCTTCCAAGCCAGTTCCCTCATCTTCAAACTTTTCTTTGTCATCAACCCTGTGCTTTTCCACAGGTTCCAATTCTTCAGGTGTTTGTTCACACTCACCCTCAGCCTCTGTGGTAGTTATGCCTTCATCAGAGGACTCGGCAGGTCCTTCATTATCTAACTTTTCTTTTTGGACTTCAAAGGCCTCTTTTTGCTCTGTGCCAGTGAGTTTCAGTTCATCCTCTTTAAGTGCAACTTGAGGTTTTGTTTCTTTTATTGTTTCTACTTCTTCAGCTTTTAATTCCTCAAAATCCTTTGTTAAATCCTCTGGTGAAGACATAAGGGATCTCTCCACTTCAAATTCTTTTCCACTAGCTGTAATTTCTGCAGCTGCTACAGTTATGGGAGTGGCTCCAACTGATGCAAGGGCAGCTTGTGCTCCACTGACTTTGATCTCCTTCTTCACAGTCTTAATCTTTCCTTTATCCTTTGGTTTTCCAGCAGGTTCTGCTTCTTTTTTAGCAGGTTCCTCCTTCTTTTGTGGTTTAGACTTTGCTGCTGGCTTTTTGACTTCAGTCAAAGGAGCAGCTGTCTTCTTTGTTTCTTTAGGAAACTTTTTGATGTCCTTTTTGGCTTCTTTTTCTTCTTTCTTAATTTCCTTCTTCTCTTCTTTTTTACCTTCTTTTTTAACTTCCTTTGGTGGAGCTTCTTTCTTTACTTCCTTCTTAGTTTCCTTATTCTCTTCCTTTTTCACCTCTTTTTTAACTTCTTGTTTGATCTCTTCTTTTTTTGTTTTTTCCTCTTTTTTGATGAGTGTTTTCTCCTCTTTTTTAGAAACCTCTTTCTTTGTTTTTTCTTTTTCCTCTTTCTTTTCTTCAGGTTTTGCTTTGACTTCCTTTTTCATTGGCTTCTCCTTTGCCACTTTTGGTTTTACATCTGTAGCTTCTTTTTCAGTAGTTTCAGATTTTACTAATTGCTCTTTACTTTTTACATCTTTTTCTGCCACTATAGGTTTGGTCTCCACTTTTGCTGGTTTCTCTTTTTTAACTGGAACTTTTTCTCTGCTTTCCAGTTTCTGAAGCTTTTCCAGTGCTGGACTAGGCTTTGCAGGCTCTGGCGTTTCTTCTTTAGATTCCTTTCTGACAGGCTTGCTTGGTGTCTTTGCAGCAGTCTTCAGACTCTCCTTGCTGTCTGTTCGCTGTTTCAACTTTGCTTGTTTCACAGCTGGACTAGCAATGTTGCCAGTCAGGTCTTTTTGTGTAACCATTGGTTGTTTAAGGAAGTCTAAGTGTTTGACTTTTTCTAGTCCTTCTAGAATATTATATTGGGTGCTGTTTCCAGGAAACAGAACTCGGATTATTTTTTCTGCAGGATTAGCTGGATGCCACACAATCAGGGATGAGACAGACATGAAATAGGATAATGGAATTTCTAGTTCCTGGCCATTTGGCAACAGGAATTCAGCTTTATCTTTGCTAGTACCGCTCCACTGTTGCATAAAATATTGCATCTCTTTGCTATTTTTGACAGGATTGAGCACATACATCTCAAGTTTGCCAACTCCCATTTTCTGAAATAAAATGATGGGGTCAATGGTATTTCCCACATTTCTGAAAAGAGGTTCTGGTTTCATAGACAGTTTATTTAAATACTGGAGAGTAAAACAAGCTTCTTCTACACTCCTTTTTACCCTAAAGCTAGGATCCAGGTTCTTCAGGTTCTCAGGTACATTAAGGAATACAACTCCTAAATCAGGTGAGATCAGATTTTTCATCCAGTCACTGTTGGTAGTAGACCCTTGAGACTGTTCCTCTTCTAGTTCAGCTATTTTTCGCTGAAGCATGCTATTGATTCCTGGCAGGTTATCGTCTCCGATGTGAGTGAGTAGAATGGAATCTACCCTGTCCAAGTGCCGGATAAGTTTCCAAAAGCAAGATTTTCTTTCGGATCCTCCATTGATAAGCATGTTGAATCCATTCACTGCAAATAATGCAGAGTCCCCTCTTCCACCTGGGAAAATATAACAGCAGGGTTTGGAGAGTTTCAAGAAACCTCCTGAAGTTGGAGGTTCCAAAATGTCGAAGGGTGATGGCACTTCCACTGATTCTGACAGATACTCTGTGAATTCAGAGAGTCCTTCCATTTTGGGCAATATGGAAGCTGAGTTGAGTTTAATGTTAATAAAGTCTTGAAGGTTGTGTTTGTCAAGGTTGGAATTTTTCCAGTCTCCTTCCTCAGGGCAGAAAAGAGTTAAGCTGGCTTTGTTGGCAGGGTGTGTGGTGCTCAATAATTCACCAATCTAGGGATGTGAAACAAAAACACAAGAAGATGCATGTAAATTCATTTTTAATGACAATTAATGTCAGAACATAGTATTTCCTGATCTATCAATAAAACCTTTTTCATTTGCTTCTGCACTGTTGAGTACCCATCCTAGAAGCTAAAGGAACCTGTTAGCACAATTAGTTTACTACTGTATTTTTTTTAAATACAAAGGATCAGCTTATGAGGAAAGGTCCCTTCCTCATTGCCCAAAGGAGGAAAGCACCCCAGGGTTCCCCCTTCCCTTCTCCACCCTTTATAGGAGGACAGTACAAGCTTTTATATTTAGAGGGGATCAGAACTATGAAGCTAATGCTGCCAGAGCTGCCACTATCTCTGCCATTGGCTCATGAGTCTCCCTGCTGCCCCTGCCCATCCAGAAGAGCCAGCCAAACATCTAAGAGAAACAGCCCATCCTCTTAACAGGCAGAGAATAAATGCAGCCAAGAGGAGGCCAGCATCCTCCCAGGGCAGCTGCCTTCTTCACCCCCTCCTCACACAGGATGTATTACATGACACCATCATTACTACAGTTCTTTCTGCAGGCTGGCTCCTGACTCCCAGACTGCAGGACAGTTTTCCAGAACGCTAAGAAATAATTTATTGCATCAAAAATATAAACAGTTGCAAGATTTCTATTTGTGAGATTGTGAGGTGCATATATTTATATATGCTCTATTGTGCTGGTTTGGGCTGGGATAGAGGTAAATTCCTTCATGGTAGCTAGTATGTGGCTATGTTTTGGATTTGTGCTGAAAACAGTGCTGATAACACAGGGATGTTTTAGTTACTGCTGAGCAGCGCTTACGCAAAGTCAAGGCCTTTTCTTTTCTGCTCCTCACACCACCCGGCCAGTGACTGGGCTGGGAGTGCACAAGAAGTTGGGAAGGGACACAGCCGGAACAGCTGACTCCAACTGACCAAAGGGATATTCCAGACCATATGACGTCATGCTCGGCATATAAAGCTGGGGGAAGAAGAAGGAAGGGGGGACATTCAGAGTGATGGCGTTTTTCTGTTATGTGTAATGGAGCCCTGCTTTCCTGGGCATGTCTGAACACCTGCCAGCCGATGGGAAGTAGTGAATGATTCCTTGTTTTGCTTTGCTTGCATGCGCGGCTTTTGGTTTACCTATTAAACTGTCCTTATGTCAACCCACGAGTTGACTCACTGTTGCCCTTCTGATTCTCTCCCCCATCCCACTGTGAGGGGAATGAGTGAGCAGCTGTGTGGTGCTTAGTTGTCAGCTGGGGTTAAACCACGACAAATATATATAAAAATACATATATATGAAAATACATATTATATCATATTATGCAATAAATATGTATAATGCTATATATATATAGTTTTATAAATAAAAATATAAACTCAGGGCTAAAGAAAAAGCCAGAAAAAAGTGTTAAGGTTAAAAATGCTCTTGTCATTATTTTGATTTTAAATTCATGGACCACAAAAGTGAAAATCTAGAATAACTCCATTAATTTTGACAGTGTTTGATAACAAGTTTGTACCAAAACCAGCTAATGAAATAAAGGCACATAAAACAAAAAGGTTTATGCCATAGTATGATAACCTATTCTTCTGTTCCAGTATGAACTACAAAACAATATTTGGTGGTTCCAGATTAGAACACAAACAAACATGAAAAAGTATGATATATTTTATAAATTCTCCCAGTTCCACGGATACCTTCATCTGACTCTTTTTTTTTTACAAGAAATTAGGTTAAATGTAGCCAATTTCTGTTCTATTTGCTCTTAACAAAGAGACCATCAAATTATGTAAACTTTAAAGAAGTAATTCAGACATAAAATGTCAGTGCAAAATATGCCTACACAGTATCATGCAAAATACCACAACCTTCTTTGCACAGACAACTGTTAGATCAAGCTACAGGAACAGTATTCATAAAGATGATATAGAGTAGGATAGAGCTGAATAATTTGAATGTCTTGGACCACAAGCTGAATCAGCACAAGAAAGGGATATCACAGAATCATAGAATGGTTTAGGTTGGAAGGGACCTTAAAGATCATCTAGTTCCAACCCCCCTGCCCTGGGCAGGGACACCTCCCACCAGACCAGGTTGCTCAAAGCCCCATCCAACCCGGCCTTGAACACCTCCAGGGATGGGGCATCCACAACTTCTCTGGGCAACCTTGGCCAGTGTCTCACCACCCTCAGAGTAAAGAATTTCTTCCTAATATCTAATCTAAATCTCCCCTCTTTCAGTTTAAAATTGTTGCCCCTCGTCCTATCGCTATGATCAAGAGTCCCTCCCTGTCTTTCCTGTAGGCCCCCTACAGGAAGTACAGTACTGGAAGGGGCTATAAGGTCTCCCCGGAGCCTTCTCTTCTCCAGGATAAACAACACCAACTCTCTCAGCCTGTCCTCACAGCAGAGGGGCTCCAGCACCCTGATCATCTTCATGGGCCTCCTCCCATGGAGCATAAGCTCCCTGAAGAGCATGCACTTGACCTGCTTGCCACACTTCTTTTGATACAGCCCAGGATGTGGTTGGCTTTCTGGGCTGCGAGTGCACATTGCCAGCTCATGTTGACTTCCTCATCCACCAACACCCCTAAGTCCTTCTTGGCAGGGCGGCTCTCAATACATTTTCTGCCCAGCCTGTATTTGTGTTTGGGATTGCTCCAACCCAAGTGCAGCACCTTGCACTTGGCCTTGTTGAACCTCATGAGGTTTGCACAGGACCACTTCTCAAGCCTGTCCATGTCCCTCTGGATGGCATCCCTTCCCTCCAGCGTGTTGACCCCACCACACAGCTTGGTGTCATCAGCAAACTTGCTGAGGGTGCACTCAATCCCGCTGTCCATGTTGCCGACAAAGATGTTAAACAGCACCGGTCCCAATATGGACCTGTGAGTAACGCCACTCGTAACTGGTCGCCACTTGGACATTCAGCCAGTTCCTTATCCACCAAGTGGTCCATCTGTCAAATCCATGTCTCTCCAATTTAGAGACGAGGATGTTGTGCAGGACAGTGACAAATGCTTTGCACAAGTCCAGGAAGATGATGTTAGTTGCTCATTCATTATCCACCAATGCTGTAACCCTGTTGTAGAAGGCCACCAAATTTGTCAGGCACAATTCGCCCTTAGTGAAGCCATGTTGGCTGTCACCAATCACCTCCTTATTTTCCATGTGCCTTAGCAGAGTTTCCAGGAGGATCTGCTCCATGATCTTGCTGGGCACAGAGGTGAGACCGACGGGCCTGTAGTTCCCCAGGTCTTCCTTCTTTCCCTTTTTGAAAATAGGGGTTATGTTTCTCCTTTTCCAGTCGGCAGTAACCTCACTGGACTGCCACGACTTCCTCAAATATTGCTTCTTTTGATGCAGCCCAGGATGTAGTTGGCTTTCTGGGCTGTGAGCGCACATTGCCAGCTCACATTGAGCTTTTCATCAACCAACACCCCCAAGTCCTTCTCCTTAGGGCTGTCCTTAATCCATTCTCCACCCAGCCTGTATCTGTGCTTGGGATTGCCTCGACCCATGTGCAGGACCTTGCATTTGGCCTTGTTGAACTTCATGAATTTTGCATCGGCCCACTTCTCAAGCCTGCCCAGGTCCCTCTGGATGGCATCCCTTCCATGGTCCCTCCAGCATGTTGACCACTCCACACAGCTTGGTATCATCAGCAAACTTGTTGAGGGTGCACTCAATCCTGCTGTTCATGTCACCAACAAAGATGTTAAATTGCGCTGGTCCCACTAACAACCACTGCGGAATGCTACTCGCTGCCAGTCTTCACTTGGACATCGAGCCATTGACTGCAACTCTTTGAGTGCGACCATCCAGCGAATTCCTTATCCAACAAGTTGTTCATCCATCAGATCCATGTCTCTCCAATTTAGAGACAAGGATCGCTTCTGACCTTGGAGGAGGTGATCCTTGAATATTAGCCAGCTTTCTTGGGGCCCGCTTCCCTCCAGGGCTTTATCCCACAGTAGTCTACCAAGCAGATCCCTCAGGAGGCCAAAGTCTGCTCTCTTGAAGTTTAGGGAAGTGAGCTTACTGTGCACCCTCCTGTCTGCCCTAAGGATCTTAACTCCACCATCTCATCGTCACTGCAGACATGGCTGCCCTTGAGCTTCACATTCCCCAGCAGCCCGTCCTTTATGGTGAGATCAAGGTTCAGCATTGCAGCTCTCCTTATTGGCTCCTCTATTGCTTGGAGAACGAAGTCATCATCGACTCATTCCAGGAACCTCCTGGATTGCTTATGCCCTGCTGTGTTGTCCCTCTAACAGATATCGGGGTGGTTGAAGTCCCCCTTGAGGACCAGGGCTTGTGAACGTGAAGCTGCTCCTATCTGTCTATAGAGGGCCCCATCTGTTCCATCATCCTGGTCAGGTGGCCTGTAGAAGACCTCCATTGTAATGTCACCTGTCCCTGCCCTCCTGACCCATAAGCTCTTGGCCAGCTTCTCATCCATCCCCAGGCAGAGTTCCATGCACTCCAGCTGGTCACTGACATAGAGGACGACACCGCCTCCTTGTCTCCCCTGCCTGTCCTTCCTGAAGAGCCTGTGTCCTTCCATTCCAACACTCCAGTCAGAGGAGCCATCCCACCATGTCTCCATGATGCCAGTAAGATCATAGCCCTGCAGGTGTGTGAATGTCTCTAAGTCTTCCTGTTTATTCCCCATGCTACGTGCGTTTCCATAGAGACATTTAAGTTGGGGCCCTGATGAAGCTGACTTACTGGCTGGAGGGGCTGGAATTCCTTTGTGCTGCACCCCAAGTGCTCTCCTGCTGACCTGTGATCCTTCTCCAGGCTCTGGCCATCTGTTTCTGGCATTGGCATCATACTGGTAGGAGTGGGATGGATTGAGGTTCCCCTCCCCCAACAACTGTAGTTTAAAGCCCTCTGTCAGGAGCTTGCCAAGCCTATGACCAAAGATGCTCTTCCCCTTCTCTGACAGGTGGATCCCATCAGCCCCCAGTAGACCAGGTT